TTTTAAATTTTTGATCCCCCATCCCCTTCGAGGGGAAATGCGATCTTTTAAATTTAAATTGGGATTTTTTCCGAGGGCTTATCCGTTAAATACTCGAATATTAACTAACCCCTTATGCAAATTTTAGCAAAGATTTGTACCAAAAAAGATAAATTTATTCTTCTTGATACTGCGTACAGTGTGGAACTATTTGCGTGCCTAGGTATGTGGTATTATTTTTTTTTCGCAGAAAAAATTTTTAAATTATGCTTAAAATGAAGCGTTTTTGTTTGTATTAACCTTTCCCGAAACAGTGTTTTGGGCCCCTATATAGGGGAGATATTATTCTTTAATTTATGTATTTTTATTGAGTGTATGTTCGCTTTTTGGTTGCATTTTTCTTTAGTAACCATTTAACTTTTGTGCGCTCCCCTCTCTAGGGGTATTTAAAATTAAGATTAAAAAGAAGGGGTTAAAATTACTTCGACAAAGATTGTTTGGTTTTGATCGAATAATAAAAAATTTTTTGGGTTGGTTTCTAACACAATAATTGAAAACCCTTCGATGGCGAAGTCGAAAATTAAATTGCCGTGAATTTTTATTGGCCTGGGTTTGGGAATAGTAGTTCGTGAAAGACTATACAATATTTTTTTTCTCCATGCCCCGTTTTTGCATGGCAAAAGAAATTTTGTCTGAAGTAATCTCGTGTAGACATCCAACTTATATCACTTTCTGATTTGAAATCATATCAATGTTTTCTCCCTGTGCAAGACCTTGGGAACTACATATAGAAAGCATATGCATGTATGCATATGTGTTGCTGTTTTATTTTCTGTATTATTATTTAAAGTGTGCATTTTCATTGATTAAAATAATCCTAAAAAATAGTCAACCGAGTTTGCTTTTCTCATTCACTGTTTCAAACTGTCTGACTCGTCTTTTCTTTTTTACTGAAATTTATATTTTAGATTTGTTGATTCTTTTTGTGTTCCTTATGACTAAAATCAATGTTTGGCAGTGATATTTCGTTTTGAGTAAATATAATCTTAATGTGCAAATTAAAGTGGCATTTTGCTCATTTGTTTTCATTATCAAATTGAGCTAAACTGACTATAAAACTTCAAAAGAGTTACTGATACAATGGTGATTGTCCAAAAGTTGATAAAGGACACTATTTAAAATTACATATAAATCTGTTTTAAAGATATAAAGATTTGTTTTCATAAATTGAACATTACATGTATAGTCTGATAAATATTTATAGAAAGAGTTTTGGGTCACGTGCGTTATATTTTGTTCATGCGAGGACAGTTTTAAAATTGAAAGGAATTATGGAAAAATGAAAACTTATTTTCACTTTCCCTGTACTCTGGCATGGCATACTCTCCGCTGCTATAATCATTATGTCATAACAAGTGACATTTAATTATCATACATTTTCAGGTATACATAACGAAAACTATATTTCTTAATACCTTGCATTGAAAAATATTCACTGAACTTTCCATTCTTTCTGTAGATGCGACACTTTAACGCTTTCCGTCATACAGAATTCAAAACCAAAGAATATTGAAAACCCTTTTAATATGTTCTGCACTTATATGAAGGCATTTATCAATCTTTCGTCTTTGTCTCTTTTTATATGTTAACTTTGAGCCGACTTTGATGTAAAAGCTTTTATCCTTTTGATAAATATTATATAGATAATCATACTTTAAGAAAGTACAAAAACTCATTTAATTTCAGAAATATTGTTTTATGCACCATACATTTTGGGCGAATGTATAGAAAGGGTGAAGATCCCTGCTCAAAAAGTATATTGTTTTAAGTTGTAGCTCTAACTTTAGGTACATTTTTTTTTAAATCAAATCTGCATCAATTCCCTTTGATTATAAGTATAGTCCTCGAAACAACAATATTATTCAACGGATCTGCGATGCAAAGTGCATTATTAATTGTAAGTTAATTTCAATGGAGTAATATGTTTCTATGTTTTGCTCTGAGGCATTTATAGTGTATCTTATTTTACAAATATTCCTTAATCAAAGCACTGAAAGTACTGGAGTGTCGATTGTGTTGTGAAATATATAACCTTTCACAGCCTGAGTCTGTTTATTGATTACGCCATTTATTTTCGTTGCAGATAATGTACAGTTTGATATTTATTCAAATATTTTAGTTCCATTAGACCTATCTCTAAAAAGAAGAAAAACAGATGTAGATGACATAAATTATAGGTTTTTACAGCAAAAGTGTGCCTTAAGAAAGATATTGGCACACTTATTAAAATATTGGCTCAAAGTTAACGCCGTTCAAGTATACGGGTATTGTCTTACTGAACACTTGCCCTGTATCATAACCTTTTTATTGCATTTGCAGCAATGCTGCCCTGTATTTTAATCTTATCAAAATTTGAGACTTGGGCAGCCCTTATACTCCATATGGGATCACATGGCCCCACCTGGGCCACCCATGTACTCAATATGGGCCCCATATGGGCAGCCCTTGTACTAAATATGGGTTTCAAATGAGCAGCCTAGATACTTCCATTATGGGTAGATTTTGAATTCCGGGGTAGATCTATTTTCAAGTACTTCAATTATAAGTTTACTGGACGTTAAGTTGCAACTGGCATAATTCGTGTACTTGCATTTAATATTCAATTGATGTTTTAACTGGAACAGACAGATTATGGCACAAAGCCTTTACTATCCTGCAAGAAAACAACACACAATGTATATGCTTTAACAATGTTAACTTTATTTAGTAATCTCAATTATGGTAAGAGTGTATCATATATATACAGATTCACAAAGACACAACTGCAAACCTACTCCCATGTCTTTTTAAATTTCTACATAATTCATAGGAAAGTATTATACATTTATTGTAATTAATTACAAATTTCTATCTACCAATTACTTTCATTTTTAAATGAAATAGTATCTATGTTTTATATGATATTTAAATTTTCAGATTTCTTTGTATTGGACAAATGAATTAGATCTAAATGAATAAATATAAAAAGTTGTTCATTATAACCATATATTACACTTTGGTATGATAGTGCTGAAGAAAAAAAATATTATACAGCTCGTGAAATGTAACAAATGTAATAAAACAAAACCTTGGCACAGTTGTAATACTGTTCATAGATGTGTAAACAAAATATACAGCTGATGAAAAGTAACAAATATAATAACAAAACCTTGGCACATAGAAATACGGACGCGTAAAAAAAATATGCAGCTGATGAAAAGTAACAAATAGTTTGTACCAGTTTGTAAAAATAACCAGCTTCATTTCACATATCTTCATCAACAAAAACCACAATAAAGGCAAGAAATAACAATAGTATTTACAATTTAATGCATTTCAATTGTTAATATCAATAGTTATAGTAACCTTTTGTGAAACGTTACTGTTTGGATCAGTTTTCTATGTGCTAATATCATTCTCAATAAGAATTTCATTAATCTTTTATCAATTTTCAATGGTTTATGGAAGTTAACATTGAATTATATTCTGACTCACTAGCCACTTTGTGAAAAAAATTATCGAATTTGATAACTATATAAATATCAAAAAAGTTAACCAAGTATACTGAAAGCCGGAAAAAATATGACAACAGCGTCATTAAAATGACTTCATCTTTGCGATGCTTCCTGATAAAAAGTTTCTCGCATATTTCAACATTTTATTGAAAGGAACCAAATATTAGAGGAGTTTTAGACATAAAGTAAACACATACATGTATACTGTATCAATGTAAAAATCATGATAAGTAAACTTCTGAATACCAAAAGTTGTTATTTTCACTCATGGCTGCGCCACTTTGTGAACAACACTTTAGGTATCCACTCTGTGAAATTAATTATAATTAAAATGTGATATTACACCGAAATTAACAATTATCCTATATATCACAGAACAGTAATTAATTATGGATATATTCCTTTAAAAAATGTGAAATAATACTGATTTAACGAGATCAAATTTGTTGTGAAGAAGTTCATTTAAAAAATTGTCAGTAAAAATAGTTGTTTCAGTCATTTATCTGATATTATCAAAGTTTCAACAATAACAAAAATAAAGATTACAAGAAGCATCATTGTTTATAAAAAAAGACACTTTATTGTTTGTTGTGTAAGATGTAATTTTAAATAATTGAGGGACTTTTAAATAACAGTGTTCTCACTCGTGAGAATAATGTTTTTACAGCTCACTTGATGATATAAAATTTCATCTTACACACTAACAAACAAATATCCTCTTATAGATTTACATTTTTTAAAAATAAAAACATGTCTATTCACTTCCTTCATTTGCTTCAGGTAAGGTCTCGGACACTTTCTTTCTTGCTTTCCTTCCCCCATCGCGGTCCCACGCCCCAGCCAGCCACTTTGAAACCTTTATTTCAACATCCTTCCTCGTCGCAGTCTTTGTCGGCAAGTTCCTTTGGACACATTCTATAAAACAAGCATCCTTATCCTTAAAGAATGAAATGAAATGCAGTGAAATGTAGGTATTGAAACCATTCAAAGGTCATAAGTCACCTTGTAGCATTTTGAGCATAAAATTGGAATATAAACTAATTCTGGTATGTTTTAACAAATATAGATGTTTGTGTCCCGGTTTTACATAGCTTTTAACAATATTTCTGTGATATCGCTGCAGTCAGTTGTAAGCTGAGATCATCTTATCGGTGCATCAGTAAAGAATATTAAGGTAAGCAAATAACTTGCTTTACAGGAAGGTGATTTCTGCTTATATTATGCATCACAACACAATGCATGGGATCAAAACCAAAAATCAAAATCAAAAATATTCTCTCTTATTAATTTCCATAAAAGCTAATCAAGCATTTTCTTTCATTAAAGCGATACCTGAAGACACAATAACAAGATCTTGGATAATATATCTATTTTGAAGCCTTACTTAAAGACACCACATTGCAAATTTGTAATATATCACTTACACAGTCATATACAATACATTCAGAGGCCCCCAAATGTTTTCTTCCCTTCATATTGTACATTCTTGCCAGTTCATTTGACATGGTTTCTTTCATCTAGCGGTCAACAGTTTCCCGCACAACTGCCCCACCAAACATTGAGAGGAACCGCACCTTAAATAAAGCAGAACATAAACTTTTTTTAATGTTAATTTTAACACTACTAATTTTCAAAATTTGTGATGCGCTGCAAGTCACCAAATGACAAATAATTGTCAACTGGACCTCAAATACATGATCTGCCAAGAAAACTGTTTGAATTGACAAATTAAAAGATCTTTCCTCATATATTTACAGCCTAGGACAGCACCTTAGTGACTTGTGCCTTTTTGTTTGTCCCCTCCACCGAGTGTAATGGGGCACATTATCATTGTTGTTTTTTAACACGAGTTTATACAGTATGAACAGAATAACTTTTGATATTATAATAACAGCGCAATTCCTGGATTTTGTGGGTACTAGTCATTTTCCTGGTATTTTGAAAGCTGCCAGCGTTTTGATTAATGAATCGACTGTCTTGTCTTAATAATCAATGTTGAAAATGAGGCCAACTGCCCATGTCTAGTGCTCATGGCTATTATAGCATATCTAAATAATAAGATAACTGTTTCAATATGAATCAAAAAATTAAAACATGCCAGTTTTTAATTCCGAAATTATTGCAGCAAAGTGTTTGTCCACTGTGCAATATTTTCCTACATAAGTATAGCAGAATGATAATACATTATCATCAAGTGCTAACCACAGACCATTATGTTATTTCGCATTTAAGCCAGTGGATATGGGGTATACTTTTTTCAGTTACTAATGGTGCAACAATTACATGACTAACACTATGCTTACCACAGATGACAGCTTTGTCTGATCTCCCAGAAGCTCATCGAATGTTTCCATCTGCTAAGGAGAACGAATAGGGAATGAGATATCTTCAGGAAGCTGCAGCGGTTGGTCATCTGCTGCTGACCTTGACAACAATTGCTACATCATCCTCTTAATTTCACGATTCTCCTCCCGCATTGTCTCCAAGACTCAGAGAATCTGTGTAACAGCAGCTGCAAAAAAGGATTCATAATTCTAGGCTTTATACTTTTAGAGCTATGTGAATTACAAATGAAAAAAATCCAGTATTTTAAATTTTTCCTTGGCTTTAACAGTAATTAACGCTAAAATCTCAAAAGGATTGTTGAGTGTGCAAGGTCACAAAATGTGAAAATGATAAGAAATCATGAATTAAACTTAAAATATTTTTGAGCTAGGCATGTCATGAGGTGAAAATAAACATTTTTGACTATTCCAAGGACCGTAACTTTGGATAACAGTTGTGGGGTCAGACAAGAATAGGCGCACATTAATTCACATCATGATAAAGACTAACACAACTAATCATCAATTTCTTTTGAATTTCTTTTAACTAGGGGCGTCATACGGTGAAACTTTCCATTTTTGGCTGTGTCACTCAATCCAGCTTGTTACAACATTTATTGGCATGTTTTGAGGACAGAACATTTACTAAGTATGTACTGTAATGAATATATTTACAGCTCCGAAGTTTATACTTACTGGGCCCAATAATCTGCCCACGGGAGGGCGTATCAGAAGCACCTTGTATAAGAGAAGCACTTTGCACATCACTGCTGGCCTCTCGCAATGCCTGTGCAGATAAGCAAGGCGGAAGTGAAAGTAGGCTTTGTGCCTGTTTGGGCGTTGTTGCTTGGTCAATAACTTGTGATGGCCTACTCTCGGTGTCTGTCTCATTCTCATCAGTGTCACTATCCGATTCATACAGCCTTTTTGATGGCCTATTGACAATAAAATGAAAATACATTAATAAGTCGTTAAAAAATACATATACATTAAGTGAGTTATTGCACCAAGTGACAATATGATTATGATCTGTACACGGCTGGCAAACATGTATTAGTCTATGTTTACGTACCGAATTGTTGTGCCGCAATTTTTTCTACCAAGGATTTTTAGCACGAATGCGCTCGTTTCCTGATAGGATTATTTCATGAACAGGAAGGGCTAGAGACTTGGAGTTGGTCTCATTTGGAAGCTTAATACAAATGTGAAATAATGATAAAAGATTTTTTAATTGTCTGGAAAATTATTTTTACAACGGCCCGGGTAGTGAATCCCTTGCTCGTAGGCTCGAATCTAGAGTTTCCGGCCTTCTCTTAACTTGTAGTTTGTTTTTAAAGGGGGTCATATTTTACATTTTTTTTGGTTTTTGAATTTTTTTAAGATGAACACAATTATCTATCAGGTCATATTTTTTTCTTCTCAGGTCCGATACTCATGCCTGTGCAACAGCTAGAGGTCTTGGTTGGTACTTGGAAAAAATACTTGAATTTGTAAAAATAAGTATTTGTATTTAATATTTTAAAATGCTTATGAATGAAATGTTGGTACAAAATGGAAGGGACTTCTAAGGCTAGGGGGGGGGGGGGGGACACTGGATTTCAAATGATGGTGTCCCTTTAAAAAAAGATCTCTTAAAATTTAGTCTAGATAGAAACAATATTTTTAAAATGTTAGTGTCGACTCCGTCACAGTTAAGTAATTCAACAATAACAACTATACACATGCATAGGTCAGCTAAAGTGCCTAAGAGTCAGGGCGTAAATTCTAGAAAATGTCACAAATTAAACTGACAAACGACTATTGGGAAATTACATGGCAAAGGCAAAACCAAAAACTAAACAGCGTTTACAGCTTACCTACACACACACTAAACATGTAAGGATATAATATGAAAGGTTGTTATACGAAATTGTGGTTAAATGCTCGGAATCGAAAAGAAATATTTTTTTCGTGTACAATTTTACAATTTAACGTTTCAATACAAAATTTGATTTTAAGCAGCAGCGGAAATCACGTCTGCACATGCTCGAAATAAATTTTTTCATCAAATGCTGATTTTTATAAATTATTTCTGAATTTATAGTCTAAAAACACATTTTTATATTTAAATAATAAAAAATTAAAACCAATATAAAAAAATTAACAAATTTATTTCTCGCACCTGCTCAGGCATGCTAATATTCATCGGGTTTGTCTAAATGGGACCCATATGGGTCCCTCATGGCTTGTATAAATGTTTAAAATAATGCTACGATTTTTATATCAGATAATAGCAATTTATGCCAAGGTGGTCACACTATAGCTCAAAGTAAACGAGTTCTAAAGAAATAAATAAAAGATAAATCGTTTGTCCTTTAAGTGCTGTAATATGGTACCCATATGGATCTAATATAGGCGTACCCAAATGAATTTGCCAATATTGGATCCATATAGGTCCAATATGGGCATACCCATTAGCTTGCCTAGATATAGCCCTTATGGGTCTAATATATGCATGTTTGCTGGTTATGTATTATTCAGTACAGTACCTCAAAAATCTGCATATTCTGCACATATGTCTATAAGTATACACATTGTGACAATAAGAAATATTTAAGGTTAAATGTGGTAAATACTCTGTGATTACTTCTCACATTTACTTGATATTACTAAACAATACTAGTTACATTAAAAAGCATACTAGTGACACCGGCGAGCAACTCCAAAGCAATACCCGGTAAACTGACATGTTTATTTATTCTCAAAATGCACTGTCATCTAAAATATTATTGTTGTCAGATTGAACGTTTACCTTGAATTTACATTTGTTCATAGTCTTGAAATGGGATGAAAGTCCTCGTAATATCGAGCAATATCCGGCGGTTAAGGCTCCCATGTTTACAATTTTTTATAAACCTTTACATGATTGCTAAGAACAGAATCGATACCGTTTAAACGGTGGTACTTCTATGCACTATACTATACCATGTATTCGAGTCGCCAAATGATGACTTACTTTCTATACAAGTAAATAATGTTCAGTGCTCATCACGATTTAGGCGGCACACATCTTCTGCATTGTATCCGCATTTCGTTATTTAAAAGATCAAAGAAAAATCAACTTTAACAAAAATGAATTAGACCGCCTCCGTGGTCGAGGGGTTAGAGTCGATGACTTGTAATCCAGTTACCTCTCTGGCGTGGGTTCGATCCCCGGGTGATGCTTTGGTAGTTTAGCGCGGAGGAAGGTAGTCTAGTACTGGTGTAACTCTTAGGAAACTACCCGCCTATATGACTGAAATACTGTTGAAAAAAGGCGTAAAATGAAACAAAACAAACAAAAATTAATTATGTCACAAGCGATTATTGCACGGTGATGGTGTGTGGAGGGATGTAAACACCCATTTTCCATTTTTTACTTTGATAAACCAATTAGAATAGATAAAATCCATGATTACAGGAAATTATTAAGATAATTTGTAAGACAATATGGTCATCTCGAATAAACGGTAAAAAATATCATAACCGTTTATGAATGAAAATCGAAACGAATCTGTTTAAAAGTGTAACCGTGGGGGCCTTACCGGCGGTACGGTATTCCTCAGTGGAACTAATTTTGTTGCTCTATGACGTTGAATTATCTTTGTTTCATGTGTTCATACCTTTCATTGTTTTACGTTTTCATGTCATAATTTATATAACTAAGTTTCTAATTGAAATTGTTATTGATGAAAGTGTGTGAGGGAAGAATTTACAGTTCATAAATGTTTAGGCTACTGGTTGGGGACTACCGAAACCGGACAATCACCAAACCCGGACGGCCCTGAAAATGCTTAATTTAGTTTAATTTAGTATTTTCTTTGTTCAGTGGTTGTCAACATTAAATGCATGTTTCTTCTAAAAATAAATAAATTTATTTCAACCACCGTAAATGGTAATATTTTAATGGCTATTTCAAGAATGTTGACGTTGAAATTTGGGGGGTCAAGAAAACAATGCCTGACCTCATATACCATCTATAATCATTTGCAGAGTAAACAATAGAATTTCCAAAACTTCAGCATTTGTTTCTGAATCATTGTCTATCATGTTAAAAATTAAAACACCCAAGCTGTTATCTGAATTAAATAACGTCATGTACATAAATGTCCGGACACATGGTACTGTAGTGTAGACAATTGAGGTAATTGTGATACCTCCTTGTCGAGCCTCAGATATAAGTGTCAATACAATCAGACAAACAAGTTTGTTAGTTAGGTATAGAACCTAGCTGAACCTTGTCAATTTTTTTGGTCTCTAGGTTAAAACTTATGAAACCTGTACAGAAAAATGTTCAAAAAGTGTTGTTGTATTAATCACAACATCTCATCAGTCATCTTAACAAAGATAATAAAACATACAGACCTTTTCAATTATTTTTAGTACATGTGATCTACCGCTGGATGTTCATCAACTAAACAATCTAAAGGGGCAAGTGATTTCTTTTTTGTTGCGGACCTAGTTGGTTTAGGGCCGAGTGGACACTTATCTTATACCTCTTCGTACACATTGATAAGATAAGATAAGTTTTATTTCAAGTCGGCATGTTTTCAACAGTACAACAAAAGCTCTAGGAGCTTTTATAACCGACTGTATATAACATAAAGTATAAGATCAACAAAGATAAAACAGCTACAATAAAAAAAATGATTAGACATGATATATATACATCACATACATAAAATAGACCTTTTTAGATATTTTTATAAAAATGAATCAGATGGTACAAAACTAAATGATAGTCAATGTTCCCATTCACGCACAAATCATCAAATGTGAATTCCGTATAATTTACAAAAATCACGCATAAAATTACAACTAAGTGCGTGCATGCACGTATAAAAATTGAAGTAAAACTGCCAAAAGATTAGCACAAATCAATAATCTACTCACAAATCTCTGAAATTGTTTACAAGACAGTAACACTGCGAAAAATATACTGATATAAGGGAATATACGGTCCCGTATTTTTGATATATACGGGCGTGTACGGGATGTATTCGTCGAATATACGGACCAAGTATACGAGTCCGTATAGGGAACACCGGGTATACGGGAAGTCCGTATATGCATCAGGCATATACGGAATTCCGTATTTGCCCCATATACATGTACGTATATTTGTTCGTATGTTTGAAGTATACGGAGAATAAAATCCCGTATACGGACTATATTAAGGTTGTTATCCCTAGTATTCTATAAATATACCAAGGATATACGGATCGTATTTTCTACATATACAGAGGATATACGGACTCGTATTTTCTACGTATACAGAGGATATACGGAACCGTATATTCTACATATACAGAGGATATACGGACTCGTATTGTCCACATATACAGATGATATACGGAATCGTATTTTCTACATATACAGAAGATATACGGAATCGTATTTTCTACATATACAGGGGATATACGGAATCGAATTTTCAATATATACAGGTGATATACGGAATTGCATTTTTTAGTTGTCCACAGGGAATACAGAACTGTATTTTCTTGATAAAAGAATATACAGATAATATCAAAAGAATGCTTTTTTAAAATAAAAAGTAAACACGTTTAAGGGCCCGAAATCCCGATTTGGGTACAATAGAACATCTTTTTTTTTACACTTTTTGGAAGGGGGATTTGAAAAGTCAAAAGGGTTTAAAGGGAATTTTATTTTCAAAATTTGGGAGTATTTCAAATAAAAAAAAGAAAAACCCAATGATCATTTCCTTTTAATTTTTAAAATTAAATTTCATAAAAAATTTTTTCCCAATATGATAATAAAATTAAAAACAAAATAAACTGTTTTCCCTTTACAAAAAAGCCCTTTATATTTTTTTCAACCCTTTTTTCCAAAGGGGGAAAAAAATTAAAATGTAGCTTTTGAAAACGGAACGGCGTTTATACCGGTTGATCGATACGGTTAAAAATCGTATCACATTTGAAAAATCCGC